GAAGTACAAGCTGGATTTTGAAGGGGCAGAGGAACTAGAGACCAAATTGCTAACATGCGCTGGATTATGGAGAAAGCCAGAGAATTCCAGAAAAACATCTACTTCTGCTTGATTGACTATGCAAAAGCCGTTGACTGTGTGGACCACAACAAACTATGACAAGTCCTTAAAAAAATGGGAGTGCCTGACCACCTTATCTATCTCCTGAGAAATCTATATGTGGGACAGGAAGCAACAATTGGAACTGGCTATGGAACAACTGATTGGTACAAAATTGGGAAAGGAGTATGATAAGGCTGTATATTGTCCCCTGCCTATTTAACTTATATGCAGAATACATCATGCAAAAGGCTGGACTGCAGGAATCCCAAAATGGAATTAAGATTGCTGGAAAAAATATCAACAACCTCAGATATGCAGATGATACTACTCTGATGGCAGAAAGTGAGGAGGAATGAAAGAACCTCTTAATGAGGGTGAAAGAGGAGAGCGCAAAAAATGGTCTGAAGCTCAACATAAAAAAACTAAGATAATGGCCACTGGTCCCATCACCTCCTGACAAATAGAAAGGGAAGATATAGAGGCCATGACAGATTTTAATTTCTTGGGGTCCATGATCACTGCAGATGGTGACAGCAGCCACGAAATTAAAAGACACCTGCTTCTTGGGAGGAAAGCAATGAGAAACCTAGACAACATCTTAAAAAGCAGAGACATCACCTTGCCGACAAAGGTCCGCATAGTCAAAGAGAGGCCATGACAGATTTTAATTTCTTGGGGTCCATGATCACTGCAGATGGTGACAGCAGCCACGAAATTAAAAGACACCTGCTTCTTGGGAGGAAAGCAATGAGAAACCTAGACAACATCTTAAAAAGCAGAGACATCACCTTGCCGACAAAGGTCCGCATAGTCAAAGCTATCGTTTTTTCCAGTAGTGATGTATGGAAGTGCGAGCTGGACCATAAAGAAGGCTGACCGCTGAAGAATCGATGCTTTTTAATTGTGGTGCTGGAGGAGGCTCTTGAGCGTCCCCTTGACTGCAAGGAGAACAAACCTATTCATTCTGAAGGAAATCAAGCCTGAGTGCTCACTGGAAGGACAGATCCTGAAGCTTAGGCTCCAATACTTTGGCCATCCCATGAGAAGAGAAGATTCCCTGGAAAAGACCCTGATGTTGTGAAAGTGTGAAGGCAGGAGGAGAAGGGGACGACAGAGGAAGAGACAGATGGACAGTGTCACCAAAGCTACCAACATGAATTTGACCCAACTCTGGAAGGCAGTGAAAGACAGGAGGGCCTGGCGTGCTCTGGTCCATGGAGTTATGAAGAGTCGGACACAACTTAACGACTAAACTACAACAAGAGGTAGAAAAGAGAAAGATTAAAAAAGCAGAACTCAGGGTAAGCAGCTGCTGATAAGCTGATATCCTAAGAAAACCAAACTGGAGCAGAGGTAAGGCCTGGAGGAATGCAGACTGACAAGCAAAAACATACTCATAAGGAAATGTGATCAAATGACATACCCACGAAGTCCACAGATCAGCACATATCAATGTGACACTGGTGTCCATGTAAGCAGATCATGCACTGGAGCAAAAAACAGACCACCACCTAACAATGGTATATAAAAAAGGGAAAACAATGGATTTGTTCTGCTTTCACTCTGCTGACACTCAATTCAACCATATAACACTGTATGATGGATGCAAGGAAGGTTCAAGAAATGCTCAATGTGGATGGGCCCTACGAGATCCTTTCCTTCTGGCTATTAATTGAACAGTATCTCTTATTTGCTAGGCTTTTTGTTGACTTCCTTTTATTGAATCACACAATGATGTGTATTACAACCAATAATTCCAGAAATTGGATCAGATGATCATATGAAACAGTTCACACTGAAAATACTGATCTCTGAATTGTAATACTTGGACCAATCAGATAATGAAATCAGTAGCTCCAAATGTCCAAACATGAAGCTCTATGTAAAAAGAGGTGACTTCTTTCTCACCCTCTGCAAAGGCAAGGTAAAGCCATGCACAATGCAAGGAGTTCTCAGAAAGGATGCAGATAATTTAATGAAGCTGAATTTAAATTAGAAGCTGTTCCCTAGCATCCCTTCAGCCTGGACCCAGAATGGTGGGTCAGAAAAATTAGCTTGGAGAATAGACACTTTGTGGGGGATGCATTTTTTTTAAGTAGGGCTCCTGAAAGTCCATTTTTCACCCTGACTCTCTCAGTTCAAGGAACTGATATTTAAAATGGAATGGCTGATGAGAAGAATAGGGCCTCTACACCTTGCCGCCTTCCCTCCCTCTGTTGGGCCTGGGAAGTTCAATCACTAAGTGTGAGTGACAAAAAGACAAGGGTCAGAGAGAGGTGGGAAGGAAATAAAAGAAAGGAAGTTTGAAGTAGTGTCTTTCCTGCTTCCCTACACGTATTCATTCTCATCCTCCCATTTCCTTTCGGCTGGCCTGGCTGACCCCAAGTTCACACCCTTGGAGCGTCATCCTGGGGTCACAAAAAGAGGAACCACAAATTCTGTGTGATGTAAGTGATGGCAGAAAAGGGTGGAGCAGGATGGTTACATGTCGGCCTCTCCCTTGGGGCCTGTTGCAAGCTCAGATTAGAACACAGGAAGAGCAGAGCTCCGCCGGATCTGTTTAAGAGCCAGCATTCAATTTACCACCAAAACAGCTAGATGCTTCCTGAAAGAGGATAAGCAAGGATGAAGCCACCAGCAGCCATCTCTCTCACTGTTTGTCTTCTACATCTGGCATTTACAGGTGTGTTATCTCTGGTCGGGGGTTTCATTTAGGTGTCAGCTATTGTTCTGAACTATCCTACATGAATTTCTCTAGCAATCCTTTTAAACAGTAATCTAAACTGGCACACTGTTTAATACCTGAGTGGAAAACTTTGGTCCTCCAGATATTTTTAATCTTCATTTCCCAGAAATGCCAGCCAGTATGGCTCGTGGTAAAGAACTATGAATGTTGTAGTCCAAAATTATCAGGGTAGTAACGTCAATATTAAAGTGTGCTGCTTTAACACCTCTGAATAGCAGGATCTGTGATTCCTTTACTAGTAGCAATTTGAGGCTGTGATTTTCAGCGTTGCACTTTGATTAGCATATGTAAGCAACGAGATTCTGCCTATTAGTCTGATATACAGATGTATGCATTCATTTTCTCCTGATTATCCCCTAGTAATGTGTTTGAAAGCAACCAACCAATCATGCAAATCTGTTTCTAGAATTAATGGTTGCTCTGCTCCATGCAGGTTTGCTGTTTGTGCTTTAAAAGAAACTTTGCAAATCTTCTGAAAAAGTTAGAAATTTTCCATCACATTTTGCTGTTGTACCTCACTCTGCTAGAAAGACAGCCATCCTAATCCCACCGTCTTTTACCAGTTTCTCAAAGTCAAACTACCCACCCACAGACCTCCATCCATGATTGGCTACTTAAATAATTGCAGCTGCTCTTCCAGAGATCAGCTTTACCACATCATCCAGTTTCTAGAGCACAGCCCCTCCACACACACACACTTTGCCAGCAGGCAAATCCATGAGCTCCCCTGCTTTTTTTAAAAAAAACTTCCCCCACAAAAAATAGTTCCTCTCTCAACATCTTAGTCTGTTTCTACATATATCTGCTTTCCTTCTCCTCTTCAGGTATGGCAATCATTTTCTACATACCTAAGTATCAACAGCCAGAGACATTTGCCCTTCCAGATGTTTTTGGATCACAACTCCCATAACTCCTTACCGGCTGGTGCTTCTAGAAGCTGAGATCCCGAACATCTGGAAGGCCAACAATTATCTATCTCTGAATCAGATATTAAAGCTAGGGAGGCATGCCAATCAGCAAGCTTGGGGAGAGCTGAACGAGACCACACTGAACTCTTCCCGCTGAGCTTACGCACAAAAACAGGAACGCAAAACATAAATAAGAAGACCGGTGGCCCTTCAGAGACGAACAGATTGCTTTCACTGGGAGCTTCCAGAAATCACAGCCCACTTTTATCAGCCACGTGTCCGAAACGGATCGCTTCGTCCATTCAGAGGCCATGATCTTTTTTTCTTTTCCTTTTGCTTTGCTGATCCATGATGAAAAGAGTCTCTCAGGGCTACCTCTTTTGAAAACTTCCCGGTCGATCCATTCCGGCTGGCCAATCATAAGCCTGGGCTGAGTGCGTCGACTGCCCAGGATATTCCCTTTTGCAAAAAAATAAAATAGAAATAAATAAAAAAAGGGGGGGGAGGGATTCCTTGGGATCTTCCAGGTAAAAGGAAAACAGCGAAGCCGCTTCATTGTGATAGATGGAGCCGAGCAGACCCATCCTCTCCTGCCCGGGCCATCCGCCCCGGCTCTCCGATTCCCTTCGGCGGACTGAGGGCAGGGGCCAGGCGTGCCCAGGCGGCTGGCGGCTTCGTCGCAACGTGCGCGCCTGCGTAAGGAGCCAACCGCCAGGAGACATTGTGAACAATTGTTATTTTCTCCTCTCTCTCTTCCCCCCCCCCAATCATCATCAGCGTCATCTACAAAGGTTGCGGTAGATCGGGCGGGGGGCAGCCCTCCTGGTGGGAAGTTGGGCTTTTTGAAAAGGCCGATCGGCGATGATCCGGGAAGAAAAACCGCCCAGCGCCTCCCTTCCTTCCTTCCTCCCTTTCTCTCTCTCTCTCTCTGTCTGTCTGCAAAACAGCGCCTGTGGGGGAGGGCACGTCGTCGGATTGTAAACCTAAGGCGTGGCCAGCCTTGCACACGAGGAGATTTCCTGTCCTGGGCGAGCGCCTGAGCGAGCGAGCGCCCGGAGTGCCGAGCGATTCTCTTTCTCTCTCTCACACACACACAATCCATGGTGCCTCTCAGATCGCCTTCCTTCAGCCTCGGGCGGTGTATGTGGATCTTCGGGAGACACTCGGCCTCATGGGAGCCTTAAAGCAAGGAAGAAGCTGAAAAAGGTTGCGCTTTGTTTTTCCCTCCCAAC